ATAATTATGGTTTTATTTGGGGTAGGAAAAAGAAATTAGGCAGGAAGGAATTAATAAAAAACTAAACTGTGGGGAAAGAGGATAACAGGGACAGCGTAGAGAAGAAGATAAGAGGGGCAAGCATGGAGTGAAGATGGACACACTGGGCATGTCTACACATGCTGATTTAAGGTGTATTAGCCATTTTTAAAGCACATTAAGGGTGCAGGTCTACATGTGCACACCCTTAATGTGCCTTAAAAATGGCTATTTATGTCTAAATTTGATACCTGCGGTAGTGTAGAATTACCGAGAATGGCTGGCAGGTCTAGCACATGGTCCTGTTTTTCGACCAGTGATATTGCAAGTAAGAGTCACCACTGGCAACACAAGATGTGTTTCCTGTTCTTGCTGTTCTTATTTCTTTCCTTTTGTATGTGTTTATCCTGTTTTTGTCTTCAGGGGAATGGGCATCATCAACAGTTCTATCCCATCTCAACTCCTCTCCTCCCCTTCTCACTTGGCTGCTTCCTCCCTCCCCAAGAAAAGACAAGTGTTTCTGCCTTCAAATACCATCAAGAAGACTGCCATACAAGGGAGGAGGGTGGGAAGGGGTTCTTCATAAAAACTCTCTGAAGCTAAAGGGCAGGGAACTCTTGTTAAATCTATTTTTTTAATAAGAAAAGATTTACTTAATAATTTGCTCTTCAAATACTGTAACTACATTTTCTTCCTTCTGCATCATTAATAAAAGGCTATAAATATTTTTAATGTTGAGAAGCCACCATCTCTGTACTCTTGATCCTGAATCTTGTTTAACTGTTGAATGCAGTATGGGGATAGAGTCATGTTAACACCTTCAGTTATCTGGACCCATTTATTTAATCAAGACTCATGCAGCAGGGTGATGATTTCCATTTTAAAGCCTCCATCCCTGCAACCCCCTAGACCTACCCCATTCCTGCTTTGGCTGCTTCTCTAGCTGTTCCTATAAGCTGAAGTGGCAAAGGTCCATTCAAGTTTTGGCCCCATCACTTTCTTGATAACTCAGGGTCAGGTTCACTCTAGGCAGGATAAGAGATACAGTTTGTGTTTCACATTTTTGATGAAAGCTGCTGTAGTAGTTCACAAAAGTCCCCATCTCAGAGGCAAGTAGCGATTCTGTCATCATAGCTCTCCTTTGAAGGCTCAGTGAGTTTGGAGAAGCTTCCAATTTGGCTGCATGCTCCAGGGTCTCTATCAGCCACAGATGATCTGGATCAGCACATCTCCCAGTTGCCCAAGACACATCACATACCCAGGGAGCACCAGCCATTTGAGAGGGTCTGGCTGCTTGCAGGCCACACAACACCACAGATTCCAAGTATTTTGCACATCTACAACCATCCCTTAGGTGGATTTGGAGTTCTGAGCCAAGATTTGGAGCCTTTTGCTGGCATAGGCCCTCCTGTGAATCTGGCCCTTAATATTTAATTAGGAGCAGCATTTATAGCATCTGTTTGCAGAGAAAATCAGGGTGTATTAGGGTAGCAA